ACTTTGTGAACTTAACAAAATGCATTTTTAAGATAGCCAAATATTGGAAATACTTTATTGTAATCAGCAACATAAAAAATCTAACTACCCAAAACTCAAAAAAAAATTGTTACGATCCTTCTTCGAATTAAATAGAGTTTTTTTAAAAGCTTAAGTCAGAATATTGCCAAATACATATGCTAGTGCCACAACTTAGATTTATGGTGAGAACAGTTTTACAAAAACGTTTCTGTAAATAATGACGTAAAACAAAGTTGCATACCAAGTCCTACAATTGTCTTCTTATGTGGAATCTGTGTAGCAGATTATACACATTTTGTCTGACTCACATACAGGTTTGTCAGCCCCAGTTTTTCGTCCCTCAAAATATACATCCTCCACATCGGTTGGAGTCGAAAATCCTAAGTCTAACTTTGTTCATTCGAAATTGCTGTAAAAAATGTCCAAAAGGAACCTTATTAAGTTTATAAAAATGAATTTATCGGAAGGTAATCAGTCAACAAAACGTAAATTTGTAAGCAATGTTGTAAAGCGACCTTCACATAAAATCGGTCTTGCGACAGCTGGCAATGTATATACCGACATAGGCACAGGGTCTCAATTGGAACCCCCCTCGAACATCGTTTCGGGAAACACGTAGCTCGATTGAAGTCCGAACCTGTAACTGCAGGTTCATCTGCGGCTTCAAAATATTACATTTCGTGTAATAATATGCTTGATTGAAGTCCGAATCTGTTACTGCAGATTCATCTGCGGCTTCATATTATCGTTGTAGCGGAGATGGATTCCGAATATGTTACTGCAGATTCATTTGCGTTTCCATTCCCTACATTTTGTTCGAATAAAAAGCTCACACTGAACTATGCATCCAGTACCTACCATCGGAACTTATTTCGATTTTCGAGTAATTAGTTGTCACTTGTTTTGCCGCCTCCTTTAGACATCAAGTAGTTTTTCGCTGTCATTCGGACAGACAACACCCACAATATCGTTTGCAAAGCACATATCGTTGTGCGTAGAAACGCATATTGTTGCCACAGGTAATAACGTTACCTCTTACCAAACTAAGAATAAATAGTTGTATATATTAAGAAAAACTGTTGTTTTATTTCTTTTTATATTTCCCCCCTACGGTCCACTGCTCGACGCATTCGGCGTTTTACTCCCATCGGCGGAGCCCCTCTGAGCTAAACACGTACACTAGCAATTAAGATATGCATTTCTTTTCTGTACTATTGTTATGTATTATCGATCTGTTAATTGCCATTATTCGGCTATTGATCAGCTGGTGTGGTGAAAAAGAGCTTGTAGTTAGTGCGATGAATAATGTAGCGTTTAAGGCATAATACATACATTGAATACCACAATAATAATAAATAAAAATTGAATAATAACAAACAATGAAAATAATAGGAACAACAAAAGAGTAAAAAGCAGTAAGTTCGGCCGGGCCAAACCTTGAATACCCTCCACCATTTACAACGAATTTGGGAATTTTTAAAAAATGTTCAACTATAGGCGGTCATTTGTCACTAGAGGTGACTCAATATATGATGAATTGGCAAAAAATTTAGTATAGTTACACATTTGTTGCTTTTGTGTATTTCTTTCCAAAAAAATAAGTTGAACAGATTCAAAGAGAGAATTTGCGGTTTTACATATTTTCTACTGATTACACACATTAAGGGGCACCACTCAAAGGGGGCTGGCATGTTGAGGTTCCTGGGTCACTACACCAATAAGACAACAATTATTCACTAAAAAAATGTTGTAATAAAAAGAATATAAATTCATACCGGCAGAGTCTTTTATTTAAAACAAATGTTTTATTGAAATATAAGCCGCCAGTGCCTTACTTGTAATACATAAGTATCGCCTGCATCGTAGAACTAAGGAGGTTAAGTCATGCAATCATATGTTTACAATTTTTTTAAATTGTTACCTTTGACAACATGTTGTTAAAATTTATATTCATAATTCCGTAGTATATATACAAAATCGGAGATGGGAACTGTTTTCTATGAAGTGAATTTTGAAAAGGTAAATTACAGAAAATGCAAAGCTGGGAATACTTATTTGGAATGAGGTTACCTTTAATTCATTGAACCATGATCGCCTGTATACTTGTTGTGTTTTCTAATACTCATATTTACTGTTGTTAATCTTTGTGCAACAAATACTTTGGGCTCTAATGCTTCTCTGTAATTTTAGAACCCCTTCAATTTCGAACATAATTCAGAGATAAAATTGCACAAACAATACAATATACAAAAAATACACTTGAAGATGAAATACACTTGTATGCGTAACAATCACATACCAAACTTTGACGTAATACGAGTATTACAGTGGAAGAATAGGTACATACCATCAAATGAGAAGATTATTTCAAACCCCATCGTGATAATGCAGCTTAATGTTGTCGGCATTTGGAGAAAAATAAATCTTGCAATATATAAAAATAATCAGTGCAATAGAGCAAGTAAAAACTAGATTAGCTATTTAGTAAATCTGACTAGTTTATTAGATAAATAAGCAATTTTTTTCGAAAATCATGTAAAACATACTTGTGAACTTAACAAAATGCTACGCTATTAATAATTATGTTTTCTGAAATGCATTTTTAAGATTACCAAATATTGGGAATACTTTATTGTAATCAGCAACATAAAAAATCTAACTACCCAAAACTCAAAAAAAAAAAAATTGTTTTTGCTGCGATCCTTCTTCGAATTAAATAAAGTTTTTTTAAAAGCTTAAGTCAGAATATTGCCGGGTACATACGCTAGTGCCACAACTTAGATTTATGATGAGAACTGTTTTACAAAACCGTTTCTGTAAATAACAACATAAAACAAAGTTTTATACCAAGTCCTACAATTGTCTTCTTATATATAAATGATTTACCAAAAGAGCTACCAGGTGGAATCTGTGTAGCAGACACATATATTACAGTTCTGCTTCATACACATTTTGTCTGACTCACCTACTGGTTTGATAGAAATGAATTTTTTTTTTTTTGCAAATCGATTGTGTTAAATGACCGTTAAAATTTAACTTGTCAAAATCTAAAGTAACAAAGATGTGAAACAATATCATAAATCTAAAATGGCACTACGAATGCCATGAAATTGAAATTAATAGTAGATATTCATACCATATTGTAGAAAGACTAGTTTTTTGTTTTTTTTTTCGTTCGTTCCCACGGCTCTCACAATGCCCCTGCTGACCGAGGGGGCCACCTCCCTATACGTAGAGAGCGCGTACACACCAAAGTCCGGACTAAGGCAGGTTAGCAATGGTTTCACACCGGCTACAAAAACTACATCAGCCAGTGAATAAAATAATTAAAATAAAAGACATACACAGATTAGTAAATATAAGTTAACAAGGTACAGATTTTAAAAATCGCTGCTCATTGGCTGCGTCTACTGTACCGCAAAGGGAAATGTAGACCAAGTGCCAGATGATCAAGCAGCATAGCAATTCATAACAGAATTTCAATCTACTGTTTACAACTATTACTCAAAGGCGAGTTCTAGTAGTTCCGCTTGGGGAGATGTAGATAAGATGCCGTAAGATGAGTTTTGAGAATTAAGAACAAAAACATGAAACAATTAACGAATACTCATTAAACAAACATAAAATTACATATGTAGAACATAGTTCTTTATTGTATTTAATGGATTACTTAAGCAAATAGTTTTAAATAAACTGTTATAAATAACACAAAGTGACCTCATAGGGTTGTTAAGCTCATAGTTAGTTCTCGCAAACGATAATTTTACGAGTTCTGCGGGAAGGAACATTATGGTATATTTCACCTATAAGAAATGGGGAATCAATGAGACCGCGTACTAGTTTAATGATAAATAGTGCTCTTAATATACAGCCATATTCTTATACTGGACGCACCAAGCTAACAAATAATCTTTTTAGTTACGTAAGGATCATCAAACTTTTTAGAACAGCGCTTGATGAATCCTACCAAAGATTTCGCTTTATTAACGCAAGAAGCAATATGCAAATGAAACCGAAGCGTAGGATCTAATATTACGCCCAAATCAACGAAATAATCAACATTATCTAATTTGTGGGAGCCAATACAGTAATTAGATAATAAGGTTTGGGATCGAAAGAAAGACAACTTTTTTCATTTTATTAGATTAAAGGTCATACCATTTGCACTACACCAGTTTACGAGTGAGTATAAATCATATTGTAAAGAAATTTGATCGCTAAGTGAATTTGTGTGAAGAAAAAGCTTCACATCATCAGCGTACATTAAGATTTTGGAAAAACGAACTACGTTTGAAAGGTCATTTAGGTAAAGAACAAACAGTAATGGGCCCAAGTGTCTTCCCTGGGGTACACCAGATGAAACAATGATATTCTTCGAAGAGACATCATTAAAAATAACTCTTTGTGTACGATTATGTAAGAAGAAGGATATCCAGTTTAAAAGTGATGTTGGGAAACCCATTAAGTCTAGTTTTTGAAGCAACAGCTTATGAACTAACGTATCAAAAGCTTTGTTAAAATCAGTGTAAATAACGTCAGTCTGTTGCTTATTGACAAAACCATTTTGAACTTGACAAACAAATTCTAATAGATTAGAAATCGTAGATCTACCTTTCATTTAGCGATACACCTATAATTATTGATGACACTCCTATTTCCTGATTTATGCAGGGGGATAACAAAGCTCAAGCGCCAATAGCATGGGAAATATCCTTTAAGCAGGCCATCCACAGGCGAATTTGTTCGACGAACATGTGTTGTTTATATCGTTGGTGTTAGTGAATCTTGTGTTCGTCGTTTTGTTCGCCAAAAATTAAAACGTTTCAATCTTTTCTGTGTTCGCATGAACATTTGACACAGTGGGTGGCAGTGTTCGCCGAACATCAGTTGAAAAATATTTTTTTAGAGTGAAGACGTACTTAAAATGTCACAACAATTTCTATTGCAGTACTCTGTAGATGATAATTCAACACGCCCAGTATTGGTCACGCAAAATAACAACGTGGCAGCATCTTCGTATAATGATTTATTCAACAGCGATGAATATGTATAAAGATTAAAATTAATATTAGACTTAAATGAAATTATTAAAATAAAACATTTTTATTCTTACTTTTATATTCTTACTCTTAATATTTATATACGGCTTAAAATAAAACATTTTTATTCTTACTTTTATATACGGCTTAAGCATTTTAATTATTACGCCACATGTCTCGAAAACTACGCGTCCAAGACTCTGGGGAGAAATTCCAGTTAAAAATTTTAAATCTTCGTAGCTTTGGAAACTTGCCAAAAAGCGCAAAGTCGCTGAAAGCCTTTCATTTGCACTCATTGCTTCTCTCATTGTAGTATCCTGTCGATGAATTTCTGGAGCTACCAAATTTAATAGAGCTGCATATGTTTCAGCGTCGATTCTAAGAAAATTCTTTAAATCCACCCGAGAACTTTCTTTCAGATCCTTTAAGAGTTTTGTATGTGTGAACTTTTGGCGCTTTGCATACCATTCTTTCATCCATATGCTGTGCTTTCTTTTTTTAACTCCCCTTATTTTTTTTCCTCCAAACAAACATGTATTGTCATCAAGGCAATGACTGTGTCGCGGTCGCTGTCTGATGACATGTTTACTCGATGAAAATTGTTTACAAATGATGTTCGTGAGCATGTTCGCACTCGTTTGTGGCAAATGAAATTTTTGTTCGTCGAACAGATTCGTCTGTAGATGGCCTGCTTTAGATAGGGAGAAATTACAAATTTTAGTGAGAGGTACAGAAATTTCACGTTTACGTTGGAACGCCGTCAGGGCCTGGAGAGAATGAGGAGCGTAGTGTTCTTAACCCATAGAAAACTTCGTCATCTGTCATATCATCAATACGAGGAGAATGATTTAATTTTTCAATAATATAGCTGCAAGAAACATTAAAAGTATTCTGGGTATAAGATGATTGATAAAAACTCAGCAAATAAATTAGAAATCACTAAGTTGTCAAAAGATTCACTATTGCCAAGTTTCATACTACTGGGAAATTTATGTGCCTTCCTTTTGGAATTTACAAATTTAAAAAAGTTTTTGGATTTATGTAGCAGATTTTGTTTCATTTTTATTAAATATTGCGAATAACATTTGCAGTTTTCAGAGTTATATCTACTCCTTGCGGAAGAATACTTTGAATAGTTCAGTGCAGTATTCGACTTTTTAAATTTTTTGAATAATCTGCTTTTCAAATTCGTAAACGTCTCAGTGAAGGCATAAACCAAGCAGGACCCTGATCTAAATTTTGTTTTACTATAGGTACAGAACTAGATAATGCAAAATTAAGTTGCTCATAAAATTTTGAGACACATAAGTCAATGTCATCATTAAGATGCCATATAGTGTTAGATAAAATAGAGCGCAGTTTAATAAGGTTTGTTTTCCCAAAGTTACGCCTATCAATAGAAGCATTAACAGAATTAGAATTCAGGGAGGAGTTTCTTAATCGAGGTTTATCGAAAGCGTAGGGTGATAACTGTCTTCAGGGAGTACATAGGGAGAGCATCTAGAAATCGAAATATTCAATGAAGACAAAAAAATTAAGTCTAACAACCTGTCTTTAACATTTAACACATGGTTTTCTTGGTACAGACAAAGCTCAAATATCTTATACCAAAAGTTAACAAAACCTGTTGGGTATGTCAGAGGTATGTAATCTAGAATTTTTTTCACCTGAGGTCCGAAATACCCAAGGAAGGTTAAAATCTCCTAAACAAATTAATGTAGAATTACCTGTAAACAACGAAGACACCTTTGCAAAAAAATCTGCATGGTTAAGAAAAATTTTAAGAAAATAGTATTACCAATGATATTTAATTTTGCGCAGATATATTCAATATTATGATCCGCTGAGACATCAATCATTTCTGAAGGAATCGAGTTATGAACTGAACAGAGAATAACTCAATGTCCATGACATCAGGTTTTAACCACGTTTCAGCGAAAGCAATTATTTTATATTCAGAAAAGAAACTTTTAAGGAAAACATATCTAAGCTTAGTGTTTAATCCCATCCCAGTTACGATGTTTACAGACTTATCTACATTGGAGCGTTCTCTAAAAACAAATTCTTTTACCAATATATCATCGGGCCAAAACGAACTACTAACAACAGTGTTAGAAAGTCTATTAGGAACTGTTATTTTAAACGACGAAATGTCGCGCTCCTGTGACGAGTTAAATTTAAAGATGTTTAAATCATTATCGCTTACGTCACGTAACTTAGATTTCATATAATTACGGATATTAACAATAGAAGTTTCAGGATGAAGTCTGGATACAAAAACTGTTTTGCGACGTGCGACAACAACATGCTGGTTAGAAGTTGACGGATCATCAACATTTACAGCAGCCGAAGGGTTTGGAGGAGCTTGCACCACAATTGCAGGTGGGTTAGAAAATGCTCTTTTGGAAGTCGTACAATTCGATATTGAGGTTGTAGCGTTGGAAGTAAAATCCGAGTATTTACGATTATCATGAGAAACTAGTTTATTACTATTAGGAGGAGGATTTGGCGAAATCGGAGAATTTAAGCTGATTAAATTATCAAGACTTAAATTGTTTGTTTCGATATTGTTAACAACAGCTGAAGCTTTTTTCCTCTTTGGAGAACCATCAGATAATTCAAGCCTGTTAACCAATTTTTCAATTTTTTCAAATTTTTTAAAAGTTCAATTAAAACTTTTTTTAAATTATCGATTTCAGCCTTAGTTTCTTTTAAAGGCTATGATAATCAACTTGAAGATCTCTACAATCAAAACAAGACCAACGTAGACCCTTAGTATTGTCAGTAATTTAATCACACTGTTTACCATTAAAACCAGCACATTTAAGATGCATAAAATTATCACAAACAAAACTTATAATCTATCTTTCACAACTCATTTACAGCAAAATCTCACCTCCTTCAAAATAGAAGTGATTTCCACTTGGTCAAAATATATAAATCATCCAAAAAAATGTACAGTAAAAAAATTAAAAGTTTTTTGTGTTTTTTTTTTCAAGATATATAATGTTCTATGCAGCTCAAATCTGGGGTTTTGAAAAATATAAAGTATGAGAAAAATATAAAGTTCGATTTTTTTTTATTTAATGTTTTACATTCCGAACAATACGCCCACCTAGATACTGCAACTAGAAGTTCGTATCCCCCAATTTTTTTCGACGATCCAAACGCTTAACTTTCCCGCTTCTGCTGGCCGAAAGTGCCACCTCCCCATAAGTTATTGAAACAAAAAACTGACGTAATACAAAAAAATATATATGCCTGTTGAGGTTCCTAGTTCATGACACCGATAAGGCAACATTCGATACCTCAACAACCATCAGAAAAGATATATAGCTATGAAAGAAGCTAACAACTTTAGCCACCAAAAACTAAAGGATAAATTCAGACCGTCAGAGCATTATATTTAAAACAAGTGTTTTATTAAAACATAAGCCAAAAGTTACTTATAAGTATGTATTACCTGTATACTTATCATGTTGTCTAGTATTCAAATTTATTGTTCTTCGTCTTTGTAAAACAAATACATTCGGCTAATAAAGCTACTATGTTGATAAGCTTTTATTTGTTCCATTGTTATGTATGATCTGTCTGTTAACCACCATTGTTCGACTATTAATCAGCTGGTGTGGTGAAAAAAGGGTTTGTAGTTAGTGCGACGAGTAACGTAACTTATAAATCATAGTACATACATTCAGAACCACAATAATAATAAACAAACATTTGGATAATAATAAACAATGAAATAAAAAGGAACACAAAAACAAAACTAAATAAGCACAAAAACGAAATACCTTGAACATAGAGGCACTTTACATTAAGCATTTTAACGCGCGTGCCCACGCTTTGCGTTTCTAAGAGGGTAAGAGGATGTAAGGTGCTTGCGGGGTAGACCAGCAGGCTCGATCGAAAGTTTGAGGGGGAACTTTTGACATTTCTCTTTCTTGTGTTTCGTGTTATTTATGTGTTGCTTCATATGTTTTCGTTTTTCAACAGGCAAATTACAGACAATGGCGGGCGAACAGGTGAGTTTTGATTTATTCAGAAAAAATTGTATAATTGTGATTATAATTTTAATTCCTTAGGTGTGTGGTTTAAAAAAAATTAATAAATTAATGTGGACCCAGGAGTTAGTGGAGTTGTTGATAACGAAATATCAACAATATGAATTTTTGTACAATACTTCACACCCTCATTATGCAGATAGGGTAAAAAGATCAAATGCCTTATTTGAAATCTGCAAGGAATTAAAGGAGGTGGATAATAATATATCAGAGGAATGTATAAAAAAGAAAATACACACATTGCGCTCACAATATGTCAAGGAGCTCCAAAAAGTTTCCTGTAGCAAAAAGAGTGGTGCTGGTGCCGATGATATTTATGAACCAAAACTTTGGTGTTATTCGCAGCTGCAATTTTTAAAGTCTTTTTGCTCTGTTCGGGATGGGGAGTCAAATATTCCGCAAGTAAGTAATTGTATTTAAAAATACAAACCTTTAGTTAAGCTTGTGGCCATTCACAAAACAGATAATAATGTAATGTAAATATAAAAAACGTATTATTTTACTTTTTTGTGGATGGCCACAAGCATAACTATGGATTATATTAATCAACAAACAAAAAGGTGAACGTTTTTTAATTTGTTTAGACAGAGAACCTGGCCACAACTACAGAGGAGTTATACCTGGCGATACCTTCTCCAAAAGCAAGTCCATCTTTATCCAGTCCATCTTTATCTAGTGTGACTTTACTCAGTCCATCAGAAAATCATGTTCCAAGGAAAAGAGTATGTATATTATTAGCGTAAATGAAAAATGACATATCGCCCAAAAATGTTCTGTGTTAGTTATTTTTGTTCAAAAAATATAACAAAAATGACAAAATGCAAAGACAAGGCACAGATGTGAAAGGAAATATTTCTTTAAATTTTTCAAAAAAAATTGAAATGTGAGTCCTATCGTCTTCACATCCCCATATTTCTTCCAAGATCAGGTGTGAAGAACGGATAGAAAGAACTTTTCCTTTTGGAACCTCCTCCACAACTTATCAAAATTTTGAACAACCATCACGATCATAAAAGTTCATAAAAAGTTTACACACATGATGCAATCCTGTCACACCCAATGTTTATATCAGACTTAGGTCATAAAGGAAGTGGACAATATTGTCCTAATTGTAAATTTTGTAAATATTGTAAAATTTTGAATAATAATAAAACATGTCAAAATATATTTTAATATACGGACATAAGCTGAGGGTATCAATCTGTCGGCAAACCAACTGATACTTTTTAACTTGTTCTGTTTTATTTGTATGTTTTATATTTTATTATTTGTATTAAAATCATAAAATAATATAATTATATAATATAATATAATCAGTTACAATTTTAAATCTTGCCAATGGAGCTGCCCTTCTTGATTAAAATATTCTTCGAAGCCTTGTCTTACTAATTGGGCAGATCGCCGTACGGGGCACTCTTTTCCATCACTTATATTTGTAGAAGATGAATCGTCAATGGCGGTATATGATGATTGATTTATGTAATTTACATCTCTTTTGCTAAGTAAATTATGCAACACGCAACAAGTTTTTGTAATTAAGTGAACTTTTTCAACACTTAGATTCATTTTTCTTTGAAATATAAGAAATCTGTTACTTAATATGCCAAATGCATGTTCCACTACATGTCTAGCCCGTGAAAGTCTAATATTAAATATTTTTCTTTCTTTGATTTTTGTGTGGTATGGGTATGGCTTCATTATATGCTTGTGGAGCGGAAACGCATCATCTCCGACTATTACATATGGAAGTTTTCTTCCATTTCCAATGACTTCATCCGTTGGAAAGTAATTATCGCCATTGTCAATAATTTGTTTTAAATCACTATGCATTAACACTCTTGCATCATGTGTGCGACCATTACATCCCACGTTTATATATATAAAGCGGCAATCTGCATCAACTAACGCCAACAACACAATGCTGTGTGTACCCTTATAGTTGTAGAAAAAAGATCCATCTTTTTTGAGCGCTTGAAAAGAAATGTGTTTTCCATCCAATGCGCCAATGCAATGAGGAAATTGCCATTTCATTGTAAACTTGTCTGCAATATTCTTCCATTCACTGACTGTATCTGGAAACTGTAATATTTTTTTTTTTAGCAAAGACAAACAAAACCAGTAAAACTTGATGGGATTCGAGAAAAAATATTTAGGAAATTGGATAATGAACCAAAATGTGACTGGCTCGGCAAGGAAGTAGTGGCGCAGCTGAACTACATCAAAAACGAAAAAATTCAGCAAAGGACAATATGGAAAATCCAAGATGCGCTAAGAGAAGGAATAATGGAGGATGAGAAGAGTGATGACGCCAATTCAGAAGACTATTCAGCATGCTCTTCACATGTAGAAGAATTAGACTCCACAAGTACTACTTCCAGCCCAATGCCCAGAACCCCAGACATATTACAACTGTCTATAGATCGACTGTTTGATGATGAAAGCAACAATTATTTTAAGTTTTAATATTATATACAATTTCAAAATTTAAATGAATAAAAAAAATTGTAACACAAAACTTAACCAAAACAAAAACCTTTAAATATTTGTCTTTGAAACAACTCCAAATAGCTTCACAAACTTCAGGGACTGTAGCGGAAAGAAAAGATTCTGATAATCTTGTTTGGAAATTGGTACTCCTGTAAAATTCTCCTGTAGCAAGATATCGAAGTGTTGCTGCTAATTTTTCTGCAGGAGATATAGATTTTCTTAACAATGTATCCTGTTTTCTTATGCTGCCTTCTATAGTCTGTAGGATGTAGTTAAAAGTTTCACAGTCCATCCGGATGTACTGATAGAAAGACAATTCATCATTGCCAAGTTCCTTCATAAGAAAAGGAAACGACCCCATATTTTCCCGCTCATTCCGCCATGGTTTCACCCATTCCCTTCTTCTTCTTTTGTTAGGCATGTTTTCGGCTTCTTCATAGAAATCCAATAATGTAAGGATAATTTCCAAATTTTCCCGATCATCCATATCTAAATGGTCCACAGCAAATTCTGTTAAATCTAATATTTCCTCAATCAATTATTCTTTTTCTAAGTTATCCACCCTTGTTTATAAAAATACTTGTTATGAATGAATTGCAAAGAGAAATAAATAAGTAAATGTCAAAACTTCCAAATTATAAACGCGCGTTAAAACCATTAATGTAAACACATCTTGCGTTTCGAAGGATGATCAAAAGAGAATTTCATGCGTTTAACGCGCGTGAAAGGCTCAATGTAAAACTGGTCATACTGTTGAGTGCGGTTGAGCCGCTGGGAAAATTTAGTAATTAACAAGTTAAGAAAGAGAATAAAAGAAAAAAAACATAATACCCTCCACCATTTGGAACGAATTTGGAAATTTTCAAAAAATAAAATCCCTAAAAAAATTCTGTTAAAGTTATAAAAATACCAAATATAGCTGTTATATTGGGGTCTATACGACGTGGACCTACATAGGCATTGTTTGTCATAAGCCATTACCATATTCAAATTCAAAACTTGTAATAAACGGTGAATAATGTAGCTAAAATCATCAAAATATCATATATAGGGAGGTTCCGTTATATCGGAGCTGTGCGAAGACCTGGACCTGCATAGACAATTTTCTGTCACAGACTGTAGTTCCCATAACGAACTCTAAATACGTAATTGGAAAAATTCTGGTGAAAAATTACCTTAAAATCATCAAAATACCGAATATTGGGCGGTACCGTTATATGGGGGCTATACGAAGACGTGGACCTGCACAGACAATTTTCTGTCTTAGGCTGTAGTATCCATTTCGAACTTCAAATACCAAATTTGAAACAGTTCCGGTAAATAATGTCGCTAAAATCATCAAAATACCGAAAAAAGGGATTTACCATTATATTACCATGGCCTATTTACGAACTTAACCTGCCTACTAGAAAAATAAACATGTGTGCAAAATTTGAGTCTTCTATCTCAATTCATTCGAAAGATAGCGTGATTACAACAGAGAGACAGACAGACAATCGGACATAGCAAAATCGACTTAGAATTTTACGCTGATCAAGAATATATATACTTTGTTGGGTCTGACGTGAGCATTTCGAGGAGTTGCAAACGAAATGATAAAGTTAGTATACTCTCCATAGTATTGTGGAGGGTATAAAAATAAATATACTATAATTACATATTTCTCAGCCGACATAAAATATTACATGCGAACAATTCGGTGTCTTGTGCGTTGACGCACGCGAAAAAGTTTGAGATTATAAATAATAATTTAAATCGACACGTGCTCTAGCAAATAAGATATGCATTTGCTTTCTGTACTATTGTTATGTATTATCGATCTGTTAATTCCCGTTATTCGGCTATTGATCAGCTGGTGTGGTCAAAAAGAGCTTGTAGTTAGTGCGATGAATAACGTAGCGTATAAGGCATTATACATACATTGAACATCACAACAGTAATAAAGTTCGGCTGGGCCAAACCTTAAATACCCTCCACCATTTACAACGAATTTGGGAATTTTTAAAAAAATAAATACGTTTACAATTCTTTTAAAATATAAAAAATAGCGAATATAGCCATAATTTTTGGTGTCTTACGACGTGGACCTACATAGGCAATGTTTGTCATAAGCCATTACCATATTCAAAGCTTGAAATAAATGGTGAATAATGTAGGCAAATTTGAAACATTTCCGTTTAATAATGTCGCTAAAATTATCAAGGTAATGAATATAGGGAGGTACCGTTTTATGTGGGCTATACAAAGACGTGTGCCTGCACAGACAATTTTCTGTCTTAGGCTGTAGTATCCATTTCGAACTTCAAATACAAATTTGAAACAATTCCGGTGAATAATGTCGCTAAAATCATCAAAATAACGAATATCGGGAAGTACCGCTATATGGGGGCTATATGAAAGCGTGGACCTACATGGCCCATTTACGAACTTAACCTGCCTACTGGAAAAATAAACATGTGTGCAAAATTAAAAGTTTCTTGTGTTTTTTTCTTCAAGATGTATAATGTACTATGCATTACAAATTTAGGGTTTTGAAAAATATAAAGTATGAGAAATTTTCAAGTTTTTTTATTTAATGTTATACATTCCGAACAATACGCCCAACTAGATACTGCATCTAGAACTTGGTCTCCCCCAATTTTTTTTCGATCCCAACGCCTTTCTCTCGCTCCTGCCAGCGAAAAGGGCCATCTTGCCATACGTTATTAAAACAAAATACAAGAAATATACTTGTAATAAAAAAATTATATGCCTGTTGAGGTTCCTAAATCATAACAACGATGAGGCATCAATCGATACTTCAACAATCATCAGAGAAGATATATAGCTATGAAAGAAGTAACAACTATAGCCAAAAAAAAATGTTTTGATAAAAGTATTTAATTAAAACAAGTGTGTTATTAATACATAAGCCACAAGATACTTATATGTATGTATTACCTGTATACTTATTATATTGTCTAATATTTAAATTTATTGTTCTTCGTCTTTGTAAAACAAATACTTTCGGCTACTAAAGCTACTCTGTTGATAAACTTTTATTTGTTCCATTGTTATGTATGATCGGCCTGTTAACCACCATTGATCGACTATTAAGCAGCTGGTATGGTGAAAAAATGGTTTGTAGTTAGTGCGACGAGTAACGTAACGTATAAATCATAGTACAAACCATGGTAGAAGAATACAGGTAGTCGCATCGACACAGCTGCTGGGACAATGAACTGTCAAACCGATTTTGGAATTGAAAATGTTGAATGAAAACTTATTGAAATTTGTAAAAATTTTTGAAAAATTCATATTATAACAACCACCGACTTGCGTCGTATAAGAAAACATTTACAAATATACTTATTTTTGATAAACTATTTTAAAAATTTTGACATATCAATGGTCATAGGGCCTATACGAAGACCTGGACTAACATAGACAATTTTCTGTTAGACTGCAGTTCCCATAACGAACTCTAAATACGTAATTTGAAAAATTCTGGTGAATAAATTAGCTAAAATCAATAAAATAACGAATATTGGGCGGTACCGTTATATGGGGGCTATACGGAGACGTGGACCTGCCCAGACAGTTTTCTGTCTTAGGCTGTAGTATCCATTTCGAACTTCAACTACCAAATTTGAAACAATTCCGGTGAATAATGTCGCTAAAATCATCAAAATACCGAATATCGGGAGGTACCGTTATATGGAGGCTATATGAAAACTTGGACCTACATGGCCCATTTACGAACTTAAACTGCCTACTGGAAAAATAAACATGTGTGCATTTTAGCCTTCTATATCAATTCATTCGAAAGATAGCGTGGAGAGTATAAAAATAAATATTCTATAATTACATGTTTCTCAGCCGACGTAAAATATTACATGCGAACAATTCAGTGTCTTGTGCGTTGGCACACGAAAATGTTTGAGATTATAATAATTGAAATCGACACGTAATGTTTAATTTAGAATTGCATTAAATATTGCTTTGTATTGACCCCTGGTTTGGTCCTTAATTATTCGTTAAAATGTACGCGCTACGGTTTATTGCAACCTTGTGCTAGCGTCTTTGACATTTTAACGAGTAATTAGTTGTCACTTGTTTTGCCGCCTCCTTTTGACATCAAGTAGTTTTTCGCTGTCATTCGGACAGACAACACCAGCAATATCGTTTGCAAAGTACATATCGTTGTGCGTAGAAAGGCATATTGTTGCCACAGGTAATAACGTTACCTCTTACTAAACTAAGAATAAATAGTTGTATATATTAAGAAAAACTCTTGTTTTATTTCTTTTTATATTTCCCCCCTACGGTCCACTGCTCGACGCATTCTGCGTTTTATTCCCATTGGCGGAGCCCCTCTGAGCTAAACATTGGTCCAATCGAACCGGATATTCCAGCCCTCTTGGACGCTTTTGGAAACCACAACATACAGTCCATTACTCCTGCATTACAAGGTATGTATAGTGCAGTTTTTCAAGTGAGCTCGCGTAATTAAATTACCGCGACACCAACAAAACATTCGGTTTTGTTTAGGTCCAAAGGTTGTTTTACAACGTCACATCTTTCTTTTGTTTTGTTTCCCGCCAATCGTTGGCTTCTAATGTGGATGATTGCATTCGGCAGCATTATAATCAAAACAAAACTCGAAAATAAAATTGTTGCAAAAATCGTTTGCTAACTTTCTTTGTTTTGGTTCATGTAAAACAACAAAACATTAAACATCTCGTTTCGTTGATACCAACAAAAACGTCGTCGTTGTTAGTTTTTAGTTTGGTGTGCTTTACTACCTAAAGCAAAGATTGCAATATTATACTTTTTGTTTGGTCTGTCCGCTTTAATATTGCATATTGCTGTTGTTACATTTATTCTCTTTTTCTCGTTGTAACAACAGTCAAATTCATTTTCTGTTTTGTTTGTCGCAAACAACAACAACACTGTTTGATCATCCACTAACATCACTGCTTGCTTTGTCGTTGTTCTCTGATCAGCACTAGTTGTTTGAGCTTTGTTAGATCAGTGAACGAACATAACAAACGAAGGAAGAATATTTTTGTTTATTCCTCTTTCTGTCGTGTCCGTTTAGGTTGAATAGCTACACTACGTTGGTCGGTCACCTCTGCTTGTTATATTAGTTGGTATTGGGTGTAAAATTATTATTATTAAAGCTAAATTAATATAGTTATTTGTTGTTTTCAACTTTTGGAAATTAATAAACCCTATAGGCGGTCATTTTGACAAGTTAAATAAATAAAAATAAAATTGTAATTTTATTTATTCCTCTATTTTTCCAAATTTGGTTCGACGTTTCTTGCTATAATTATGGCCTCCTCTCCTCTACAAACTTTCATAAGAGACTCAGAGGCCCTGATAAAATTTGGTGCACTAATCGGTGCAATAAAAGACGATTTAGAAATTAGTATGCTAGAGGAAAGGAAGAGCAAGTTAGAAAAACTATGGCAATCGGTCTATAAGTCGTTACAAAGCTTAGAAAATTCGAAAAATGTTACAAAAGAATATCAGCATTTGGCAGAAAGTAAATATGATGTTTCTTTAAACATTTACTCCAGCACTATGGCCACAATTAATAGAAAAATTATAAAAACTCGTTGTGTATTAAAAAATTTGATTAAAAACGCGGATAAAAATCAAGAGCAATCGGCTCAATCTCTTTTGCTTCCTGAATCGCAGGAAAATATTGCGCAAGTATTTCTTCTGGTTGTGATATCGTTCACAATATGGCATTGCCCCCAATTGATATTGATATTTTTGAGGGAGATTTTTCTTCTTGGCCTTCCTTTCGGGATTTGTTTAGCGCCATTTACATAAATCACTCGACATCACTCAAATGAGATGTCGAACGCATGTTCTATTTGCCTAATAAAACTGCTGGAGAAGCTCGGGAAATCGTTTCGCAGTTTCCTCTAACTAACCGTGGTTTTGCTTTCGCATGGAAAGCATTAAATGATGAATTTAATAATATTCGATTATTGGTTCATCATCAACTAAAGTCGTTGCATAATCTTCCGATTCTTGAGAAAGAAACTGCAATGGGTCTTAAGGAGATCCGACGGGGAATTAATAGTTGCATTTTTTCTATGTCGATCTATAACGTTCCCACAGATCAATGGGATCCGATACTTGTCTTTCTTTGCCTGCAACGCTTGCCGGAAGAAATGACAATGCTATGGGAACAAGGTATTAAAAACAAATCGGCCCTTTCTTCGTGGAAAGATTTAGACACCTTTCTTTCAGAAAGGATTAACACGCTCGTGTGTTTAGAAGGTTATAGATAGAAATCCATTCCTTTGCAGGATTCAAATTCGCCTGATACCGCTAGAAAGTCCAAATCTAAATGTTCGTCTTCCCCTTCTATTGGAAAATCGTGTCGTCTTTGTCATGAGAAAATCCATCGCCTTCATTTTTGCTCAAAATTTAAGGAATTAGCCCCCGCAAAAAGGTTTGCATTCGTCAACCGCCACGAACATTGTATAAATTGTTTGGTAAAGGGACATAAACTAGTAAATTGTACTAATAATAGTTGTTGGAAATGTGGTCAACATCATCATACGTTACTACATCGCGAATCATTAAAACCGAATAGTTCGTTTCCGGTTCTGACTCCAAAAGTTCAGGCAAGCTCGTCAAAATCGTTGTTGTCAGCTGCAGCCCCAGTTTTTCGTCCCTCAAAATATACATCCTCCACATCGGTTGGAGTCGAAAATCCTAAATCCAACTTTGTTCATTCGAAATCGCTGTACAAAATGTCCAAAGGAACCTTATTAAGTTTATAAAAATGAATTTATCAGAAGGTAATCAGTCAACAAAACGTAAATTTGTAAGCAATGTTGTAAAGCGACCTTCACATAAAATCGGTCTTGCGACAGCTGGCAATGTATATACCGACATAGGCACAGGGTCTCAATTGGAACCCCCCTCGAACATCGTTTCGGGAAACACGTAGCTAGATTGAAGTCCGAATCTGTAACTGCAGGATCATCTGCGGCTTCAAAATATTACATTTCGTGTAATAATATGCTTGATTGAAGTCCGAATCTGTTACTGCAGATTCATCTGCGGCTTCATATTATCGTTGTAGCGGAGATGGATTCCGAATCTGTTACTGCAGATTCATTTGCGTTTCCATTCCCTACATTTTGTTCGAATAAAAAGCTCACACTGAACTATGCGTCCAGTACCTACCATCGGAACTTATTTCGATTTTGTTTAATTATGTTGAAACATGCTTTGATGTTTCAGGGGCGTCGGCATGTTTAATTTAGAATTGCATTAAATATTGCTTTGTATTGACCCCTGGTTTGGTCCTTAATTATTCGTTAAAATGTACGCGCTACGGTTTATTGCAACCTTGTGGTAGCGCCTTTGACATTTTAACGAGTAATTAGTTGTCCCTTGTTTTGCCGCCTCCTTTAGACATCAAGTAGTTTTTCGCTGTCATTCGGACATCGTTGTGCGTAGAAAGGCATATTGTTGCCACATGTAATAACGTTACCTCTTACCAAACTAAGAATAAATAGTTGTATATATTAAAAAAAACTCTTGTTTTATTTCTTTTTATATTTCCCCCCTACGGTCCACTGCTCGACGCATTCGGCGTTTTACTCCCATCGGCGTAGCCCCTCTGAGCTAAACACGTACACTAGCAATTAAGATATGCATTTCTTTTCTGTACTATTGTTATGTATGATCGATCTGTTAATTGCCATTATTCGGCTATTGATCAGCTGGTGTGGTGAAAAAGAGCTTGCAGTTAGTGCGATGAATAATATAGCGTTTAAGGCATAATACATACATTGAATACAACAACAATAATAAATAAAAAATGGATTAATAACAAACAATGAAAATAATAGGAACAACAAAAGAGTAAAAAGCAGTAAGTTCGGCCGGGCCAAACCTTGAATATCCTCCACCATTTACAACGAATTTGGGAATTTTTAAAAAATGTTCAACTAGTGGTGGTCATTTGCCACTAGAGGTGACTCAATATATGATGAATCGGCAAAAAATTTAGTATGGTTACACATTTGTTGCTTTTGTGTATTTCTTTCCAAAAAAATAAGTTGAACAGATTCAAAGAGAGAATTTGCGGTTTTACCTATTTTCTACTGATTACACACATTAAGGGGCACCACTCAAAGAGGGCTGGCATGTTGAGGTTCCTGGTTCACGACACCAATAAGACAAAAATTATTCACTAAAAAAATTTTGTAATAAAAAGAATATAAATTCATACCGGCAGAGTCTTTTATTTAAAACAAATGTTTTATTGAAATATAAGCCGCCAGTGCCTTACTCGTAATACATAAGTATCGCCTGAAAAGGTAAATTACAGAAAATGCAAGGCTGGGAATACTTATTTGAAATGAGGTTACCTTTAATTCATTGAACCATGATCGCCTGTATACTTGTTGTGTTTTCTAATACTCATATTTACTGTTGTTAATCTTTGGGCTCTAATGCTTCTCTGTAATTTTAGAACCCCTTCAATTTCGGGACATAATTCAGACATTAAAATGCGCAACCAATACAATATACAAAAAATACACTTGAAGAACAATGTAAGCGTAACAATCACATACCAAACTTTGACGTAATACGAGTATTACAGTGGAAGAATAAGGAGTTTATTTCAAACCCAACCGTAAAAATGCAGCTTAATGTTGTCGGCATTTATAGAAAAATAAATCTTGCAATGTGTAGAAATAATCAGTGCAATAAGAGCAAAAGAGCTAGTAAAAACTACATTAGCTTTTAAGTAAATCTGACTAGTTTATTGGATAAACAAGCAATTTTTTTGAAAATCAAAAAATGCATTTTTAAGATAGCCAAATATTGGAAATACTTTATTGTAATCAGCAACATAAAAAATCTAGCTACCCAAAACTCACAAAAAATTGTTTTTGTTACGATCCTTCTTCGAATTAAATAAAGTTTTTTTAAAAGCTTAAGCTTTATTGCCAGATACATATGTCAGTGCCACAACTTAGATTTATGGTGAGAACAGTTTTACAAAAACGTTTCTGTAAATAACGGCGTAAAACAAAGTTGCATGCCAAGTCCTACAATTGTCTTCTTATGTGGAATCTGTGTAGCAGATTATACACATTTTGTCTGACTAACATACAGGTTTGTCAGCCCCAGTTTTTCGTCCCTCAAAATATACATCCTCCACATCGGTTGGAGTCGAAAATCCTAAATCTAACTTTGTTCATTCGAAAAAATGAATTATCGGAAGGTAATCAGTCAACAAAACGTAAATTTGTAAGCAATGTTGTGAAGCGACCTTCACATAAAATCGGTCTTGTGACAGCTGGCAATGTATATACCGACATAGGCACAGGGTCTCAATTGGAACCCCCCTCGAATATCGTTTCGGGAAACACGTAGCTCGATTGAAGTCCGAATCTGTAACTGCAGGTTCATCTGCGGCTTCAAGATATTACATTTCGTGTAATAATATGCTTGATTGAAGTCCGAATCTGTTACTGCAGATTCATCTGCGGCTTCATATTATCGTTGTAGCAGAGATGGATCCCGAATCTGTTACTGCAGATTCATTTGCGTTTCCATTCCCCACATTTTGTTCGAATAAAAAGCTCACACTGAACAATGCATCCAGTACCTACCATCGGAACTTATTCCGATTTTGTTTAATTATGTTGAAACATGCTTTGATGTTTCAAGGGGGTCGGCATGTTTAATTTAGAATTGCATTAAATATTGCTTTGTATTGACCCCTGGTTTGGTCCTTAATTATTCGTTAAAATGTACGCGCTACGGTTTATTGCAACCTTGTGCTAGCGCCTTTGACATTTTAACGAGTAATTAGTTGTCCCTTGTTTTGCCGCCTCCTTTAGACATCAAGTAGTTTTTCGCTGTCATTCGGACAGACAACATCCACAATATCGTTTGCAAAGCACATATCGTTGTGCGTAGAAACGCATATTTTTGCCACAGGTAATAACGTTACCTCTTACCAAACTAAGAATAAATAGTTGTATATATTAAGAAAAACTGTTGTTTTATTTCTTTTTATATTTCCCCCCTACGGTCCACTGCTCGACGCATTCGGCGTTTTACTCCCATCGTTTTACTAAACACGTACACTAGCAATTTAGATATGCATTTCTTTTCTGTACTATTGTTATGTATTATCGATCTGTTAATTGCCATTATTCGGCTATTGATCAGCT